CAACTAAATGCAATGCATGAGTCTGCACCGGTAAATGAAAGGCAATTAATGGGGTAATTGTCAAACTATGAATAAAGAATGTGGATTAGATTATTGAACTAAAGCCGTAGTGTCTTTTCTGACTTTGAAATTGAGCTGAAGTTATGTAAGAGAATGCCTTTTTTTCTTAAGAATTAAGCACTGGAATATCAAAGGGTAAAGCTGCAGATGATTCACCGGTGGTTCAGAAAACAGTATCTATTATATGTACATATATAATTATATCCACAGAGAGAGATAGAATGATAAGTTACAAATGCAGTGAGGCCAAATGTTAACAATTGGTGAGTCTGGGTGAAGGATACATGGGAGTTCTTTGACCATTCTTGCAATTTTTCCTTAACTTTTAAAGTATGTAAAAATAAAACGCTTTTTAAAAAAAGTATTTCTTGAATGAATGGAGGACAAAAGGCTAACCACAATTAGAAGGTGTTCATGAAGAAGTTGCCAACAGAGATGGAGGTAGAACATTCAGAAACGTAAAGAAGTTATACCAAGTAGGAAAATATCCAGGCCAGTTTAAAATGTAAAAGAGAAGTGAGGGACTGGAGGACAGTAATGACAGATCCGTGGGTGCCTGGCTCATTCGGTCAAGTGTCCGACTGGATCTCAACTCAGGTCTTGATGTTAGGGTCATGAATTTAAGCCCCACGTTGGGACTTGGACTGGACGTGAAGCCTACTAAAAAAGACAGCTTTGGTTTTGGCCAACCTATTTGGAGAGGCAACACATGCCAGAGAAGAAGCCGGCAGGTGCTCAGTGAGGCAGTTGAAAGCTAGGCATAGGATTAGCATCCTCACAGGTAAAACTCTTTGAGTTACTAGAAAGGCTGCGGTTTAGGCCCTACCTGCCTCATATGCTTTTTTTTTTTCCCATACATACAGTGGTTCAATAAACTATTTCACCTTGTCCATCCTTGATGTTAATCTTTGAAAATTATAAATGAAAGAATATAAGGTCTACATCTTTACCTTATGTGTAAGTTTAAGTCATGTTTATTTTCTGAAAAAGGCAACAACTGAAAATCACCATGGGCCTTTCTTCTAAATATGTGAAGACTATTGATTTTTGTAGCAATATTAAAAATATGAAGAGTTTATTGTTCAGGTCTTTTTTTAAACATGTAAATATTAACTATTCAACTAAACCATAGAGTTTTCTGCTTGAGTATTAGGTAGAATTCTATTTTACCAAGTACAATAACAAAGTGTAATTCTTTCGAAGAGCTCAGAATGACCTACTTAGAGTATGTATAGTTTCATTGTTTAACTCCCCTTTTCATAGGATTGCTATTTATAACCACTTCCTTCAACCCTGGGGGGACTTAGTAGGATTAACGACTTCTGATTCACTTTGTATTTGAAGTTTTTTTTTTTTCTTCCGTCTTTGCTCAGCTAGTGGAATCCATGATGAATTCTCATCTCCAAGGGGTAAGCTGTTTTTAGTAAAGCCCAGTAGCTGGCTTATGACTCCTTAGAATAACATCGATTCCTTCCTTCCCTTGTGTTTGTTTCTTCCAGAATGATAGAATCTGTGTAGACATGCTCAATTACCATGCTTAGGTACTGTTAAGCATGTCATGGTTTTAGTCGTGTTCACGTAAGTTATATGTGTAATGAATATCCGGGCTCCTATCTGAAAAATAAATAAGCATAAATAGCGTGCCACTTGTTTTCGCATGACAAATATGGACCACTACAGCTAGAATGAGGAAACTGAACAATAAATCGAAGAGGCCTAGGGGTCATTTGAGGATGAGGATTAGAGTAGAAAGAGTGTTTCTCAGAGAGAAGCATCTGGTGAGAGTACCAGATGGGGAGGCAAAGAACAGAATTTCATCGAGGGGTATTTTGAAGGTGGGTAATTTGAGTAATGATTAGATCTAAGGTGTTCTCCCATCTGTGGGTGGCTCAGTGGAATAGAGACGAAGGTCATTCTATTTGAAAAGTTAGGAGATTATAAAACCACGTTGTCAGGTAAGAGAAATTATAATAGCAAATAGAATACACTCAAAAGGAAACCAAATGAAAAGAAAAAAATAATTATTCTTTTCACTGAGTGTGTGTGTGCTGTTCATTAGCAAGAAAGCCTTTCAGTCACTGTTTTTATAATATCTTAATGGAAAAAATATTTAAATATGCCATATTCAAATCCTTTCCTTTATTTCTGGAAAGAGAATCAAAGGAGAAAATTCCCATTGTGCTCTACTAAGAAACCACTATTTAATGAGTATATTAGTGTCTGATAAATCCCATAGCAATATATATTATTATTGTGCAATTTCTTTTTAGAAATGAACCTTTGTATGTATTGACCAGAGAGTGGGATAAAGAGTTACGATTTTGTTTTGAAATTCTTTAGAAATGAATAGTTTTATTACAGCTGTGAATCTCTGTAGGTTTTTAAGGAGGCTGCTTCAAAGGATGTCATTAATAATCTTCTCAGGTGCTTACAAAGCATGTGTCTGTCAGCAGAATTAGAGAATCACCCAACTAGAGAACAGGTTTCACAATACCCTGAGACCTATTTTGTTCATTAGAGAGGAAAATGGCTTGTGTTAAGTCTAAATTGACATGCGTGCTAATTTCAGCAGTAAAAGCTGTTCATTGTGGTCAGGTTTAATTTAGATTAAAGTTGATCAGGTTACTTCTACAACGTACTGCTTAAACGAACTTTGTGATCCTAAAAGAAGGAGAAAAGTAAAGCCAACCTTGGGAAATACATGCAAAAGAGAGAAGCAAAGAATAGCTTGGCTGTTTGAGGGTGAATTAATATTAAAACAAATGAAAATGACGGTAAAGATACTCTTGGTTGTGTAAAAATGTCCAAGTATCAAAAAACACAAATTTGCATTTAAATTGCACGAAGCCGGGGCGCCTGGGTGGCTCAGTCGGTTGGGCATCCGACTTGAGCTCAGGTCACGATCTCGCGGTCCGTGAGTTCGAGCCCCGCGTCGGGCTCTGGGCTGATGGCTCAGAGCCTGGAGCCTGCTTCCGATTCTGTGTCTCCCTCTCCCTCTGCCCCTCCCCCGTTCATGCTCTGTCTCCCTCTGTCTCAAAAATAAATAAAACGTTAAAAAAAAAAAATTTAAATTGCACAAAGCCTACCTAATCCGTTCGTGCCCTGTGTTATCTCCATAGATAAAAATTTGTGTACTTTGCTACCTGTATTATATAGAGTTCTTGGTTAAATTTGAGGGAAATATTTGACTTTATCTGAGGTTTCTGGGTAAGTCTGTTTTTAAAGCATCTATTTGAATGTGTTAAATATTTAAGAGTCAGGAATTCCGAAGTACCTTTTAAGCGTGCTGTGTCACAGATGACCAGAGTTTAACATTCTAACCCTGGAAAACATCTTATTTCATAAAATCTATCCACAACTATATGGTTCCTACTTTAAAATTTGTTCAGTGCTCTCCAACTGACTTATGCCACTTACTTCAATAGCTGTCTTTGGCAATTTGTTCCATATTTCAAACACCCTTTTGTGTAAAGAAACCATAAAAGTTAGAAACCTGAAAATTGGATTTTTCTTCTGAGCAATCACAGCTTACAAATGTGGAAAATTGGTTAAAAGTTAGCCCCTCCAACTTTTCAACACAGAGAGGGGAAAATGCGCAAAATAGATGTGTAATGTTTGGATAAGTCCTTGCCATTATTTTAATACTACCGAAAGCAATTGCGCTGAAATCACGAGGCCCGTGTCCCTACCTGTTCACAAAAGAAACACCGCACAAACGATCGAAACTCGGCCTTTCTGAACCCAAAAATCCTTAGAAAATCGGCAGCAGTCAAAGGGCATGGTAGATAACTAAGTTTCCTAAACATTACTATCTCCACCACGTTTCATCTATTCACTTTCATTGGCCTCCTGCGTGGTTATTAGGAGAATAAAAACGCGAGATTGTGTGTAAAACATCTGTCACGTACGGGTTATCAACTAATAACAAATATTCATTATGCCTTCCCAAATTAAAATAAAATGTATTCCATTTTAGAAAGAGAACAAGCGAGAAGTCTTATTTTTCCCAAGCTTCTATGTAAATATCGCTGGGACATGGGCCCTTTAGTGCAGGGAGGGTGAGTTGACAGAGACAGTAGATGGACACTGGTGGGAGGGGGGAATTTCTTAGTGATTAACGTGGCTACCTATAAATACACACATCCATACACACACACACACACACACACACACACACCTATTTCTTGGCTTTATTCTGCTGGTACTTTTACCTAAAGCAGTATTAAAGTAATTGCTAATACAGAATATAAATACTACCTTCTAGTCTGATGCTTTCCAAACTTGCCTCGTCGTAAGAATTAAGTAGAGAATTTGTTAAAAAGGCATTTTCCAAGCCCTCCTCCCTACTCATTTGCTCATGGTGGGGGAGAACGTGGGTGGTGAGGTGCAGGAATCAGGTGATTCTCATCGAAGGCAACGTTGGGGAAGGACTGACTTAGCTTATTGCGTCCCCTTCTCGTAGGTGAGGAAGCTCAGGTACAAAGAAGTTAAATCAGTTACGTCTCTCGGATCACTTCTGTGCTTTTTCTGTTTCTAAAATATACACTTTAATTTTGACACTGCACAAGATGAGATTACAAGTATAAATAGCTATCTGTCATAAGTCAAAAAATTACATTTCTTGGTTGTGGCACTCATGCACTGGTTTAAGTGAACCCAGGTACTCTGAAATGACTCCATCTAAGCTCTTAAATAGTGAAGCAAGTCTGTAATCAAGATTTTCATCTGTAATATTTTTGGTGGCTAAGAATGAAACACATTTCCTGTTAAAGTGTTCTCTATAAAGCCTTGTACACTAGAGATTTATATCCAGTAACATATTTTTTTTTTATTTCCAGAAGTGCTTTGGTTGGTTGGAAAATTGCACTTTACTTTGTATTACATAAAAGGTATGCGCAATGCTGGTGAACTTCAATATTAAGTGAAGCTTTTTCCTTCAGGCAACACTGCAGGATTTGGAACAGAGGCGCCCCCAGTTGGAAGAACTCATTACCGCCGCCCAGAATTTGAAAAACAAGACCAGCAATCAAGAGGCTAGAACCATCATTACTGATCGAAGTAAGTCTTTTAACAAGCGTGGGCAACTTACGATGTATGAAAAAGTTTCAGTAATGACTTGGAAGTCGATTTGCCTCTGTTGCATTCATCAAAATAGTGCCAAACGGTTGTAAGTTATACCTCTTGTGCTAAGGTTTTTCATTTCATAGTGTTGTCTTTCAATAACTGAACACAATTCCATGGAATCGAGGAAATAAATTTTTCATGAATCCAGGCTTATGTAGATGCGAAGCATGGAGCGGTGGGCGTGGTGAGCATGGTGTGACAGAACGTTTGCTCCTTGGTTGTCATCTCTCTGGGCTAGCATCCATGGCGATGTCAGTCTCTCCCTTGTATTCTTGGTCGTTGGTCCAAGCAGGCAGTTGCTTCCTGGACCGTCATTCGTTCCCTTCTGCGGTGGCACTCTCATATCTGGACACCCCCCTGTTACTGTGATCCTCTCACTGTGTAACAGCAGAAATCATTGTACCGTTCCTCCTGACATGCCGGGACGGGCGAGAGCCTTGGGAGGTTGTTTAAGGCCCATCTGCCTAGACATTGCCTGGACTCTTCTTTATACGTAGGGATTCGGAGTGCCTGTGCATGGGGTCTGGAAGAGTAGAGGAAGCAGAAGGGAAAACTACTCTCCTTCTGTTACCCTCAGAGGCTCTCCTCAGGAATGAGGCCCAGTTCACCTCTGCTATCTGATTCTCTTGGATCTCCCTGGATTTCTTTCCTTCACTCTCCTACCTCCCCTCCAGGGACACACATCCATAGTGATTTTTTTTTGTTTAATTTCCCGTGTAATGCCCCTTTCCTCCCTTCCCATAACCAGCGGGATTTTTTTCTAGTGTACGAGTAGGGAAATCCTTCATTTCATCACCTTTTCTTTTTCCTTCCAAATCTTTCGTCTTTGAGCAGGCATTAGGCTTTTGAAACTCAAAACCAAGAGTCTTCAGAATTTACATTCTGTTGGATTAGTACTTGCCTAAGTCACCAGTATAAAAGGTTAATATTTGAAAAATATTATTGGTCATACTTGTATGCATTAGTAAACACTTAGTGATAATAGCTATTATTTATTGAGTTCCTCTTAGGTATCAGATAGTAGGTCTTCTATAGTGTGTGGGTTTGTGTGTGTGTGTGTGTGTGTGTGTGTGTATAAAGTCTGTATAAAATCTTGTCAGCTAAATTTCCTAATCCCTCATTTTATAGATGAGGAAACAGTTTCTGAGAAAGGTTAATCAAACTGCTCGAGTTTACAACACGAGCCAAGACCAGAGCTTGGAATTTGCCAATGTTTCTTTCTGGCTTGAAAGTCTGTGTTTCTTCTGGAATGTTTACCCTGTTTCATCCTGTTTTATTGTTTTTGTTAATGACCTTAATCACTAGGACTAGGATTAAATACTTTTTTGGCCTGCAATTATGTATGTTTTGATTCACTTCCTAAAGACCTTTCCTCTTTCACCTGTTGTGATCCTTAATTAAAATAGCCTTTTTTGATGTTGAAATTTTAACTCTTTATTGTTGCTCAAACAATGTATTTGAATATATGCTAATGTATTAGTTGAGTAGCACTAGCCACTCTAATAGGTAAGATCCCAAAGCTTGGTGGCTTACCATAGAAGTTTACTTTTTTCTGGTGCAGTCGAAAATAAGCAGCTTTCTGTGACGTCATTCAGGGACCCAAACCCCATCCATCTTTTGTGTCCAGAACATCAGAGTCCTCTGCACTTAATGGGCAGATGAGGAATAAGCATTGTTCGTTGAAATTTACTAGGAGGCAGGACTGGAAGTGGTACACGTGAATTCTGGTCAGAGCCTATTGGCTGGAACTCATCACATGACCACACCTCGTGGCAAGGTAAGCTGCAAAATATTGTTCAGTGTTGAGCCCAGGGAGGAGAGAAACTAGTTGGTAAGAAACTCATCATTCTTTTCCGTAGCTAATTTGGACAGGAAGAATACACTTAAGTTGTAGAGTTCTGTGTAAGGTATAGAACGCCATTTGTATAAACGAGCAAGGCAAGAACAAAATTGCCTTATAACGATCAACATAGATAGCTCTTTGACTGATGTAGGAGAATGTTCCTCACTCAGTCTGGAACCGTGAGGCTTTCTCCATCAGGTTGCAACATACTGGTCCAAAAGAATGAATCTTAGTGAGTGATGTGCTCAGTATGAGACTGAATTCCCATTACACAGTTAAGCGATCTGTTTCTTGCCTGAGAAATATGGAAATTTGGCAAAAATGTTTATGCAAATCTGAACATACCATATAGAAAGTCGTTTGTCATTTTACTAATGAGAAATAACTTCTATTTTTTCCCTAAGAGGAAAATAACACTAATTTATTTTACACTACCCATTCAACATTGTCTAAACATTTTCCATTATCTCTTGCAATCTTTTTTTGATATCGTATTGACTTTTTTTTTCATGATGTAGATTAAAATTGAGTGACCAGAGGGCAAGTTTTTATCTCTCTGCTAATATCCAGTAATTTGAACTGTTCTGTTTTTCTAAGCTTTTGTCTTTTGGGAATGAATACCTTTATGAATATTTGTAGTACAGTGGAAAGACTCCAATCCACATGGTCCAAAAAAAAAATTTTTTTTCTTAAAAGCCAAGTGTCTTTTGAGACATGTCATGTTGCTTATTAAGAGCCTAAGCCAGAATCTTAGTTCCAAATATGCCTGGAGCCTCTAATGCCGCCACCGAGATAATTCTGACAAGATATGTTTATCTAAACAATGTCGTTTGCAGCCCTGCTCTGCTACAGTTTATCTCTCCGTTTGAAATCTATGACATGGGATGGAGATTCAATACTCATAAAGTTTCAGTCGTGTTCAAAATAGAATTTTCCTTAGTATAGATTTGGCTTTCAGGGAAAGAGCAGAAATAAAATACTTGCTCATAAAATTGTATTTTCTTATTGGAAGATTTCAGGATTCCTTTTTTATTGCCCTGAAACTCCTAGAAATACTTAAAAAGGAATCAGCTAAATAAAGAAAAATATTCGGTAAGAGTATAATGCTGTATTGAAACATTTTTCCTTCCTTGGTAAATCCCAGTTCATAACTTTGAACAGTTGGGGAAATCTGTATATATTTATTGCATTCTATCAAGAGAAAAGTCCAATACGATGCAATTCCTCTCTACCAGTAATATCCATGCTAAAATCTCAAGTACTTGGGTCTGCAAAATACCAGCATGTTTCACCGTATAAAACGATTTCTATGGTATCTGTTGTTTTTCAGGTGATTATATCTATGGAAATCATGTTGTAATGATCTAGGTGAGAGGAAAAAATTTCATTCTCAGTGCACTCAAATAAGAAATTCTCCGTGCTATTTCTGATGTTCAAACTACCCATTTTCCCCCCGTTCTTTGGTTGCTGAACGTGTCAGGCATCCCTGGTCATTTTCTCCTGCAAAAGGGCTAGGTCAGGGGACCAAAACCAGCTAAGATTGGAATGATCTAAAATTGCTTCCTGGGAGGCTTCTGAATTGTGCAAAACACTCGTTCATGCCCATTACTACTGCAGATCATAATACCCTAATACCTTACACAGCAGTGAGGAAGGTACGGAGAGAAAGAATTCCTCTCTCCTATTGCTGTGTTTATCCCACAGATAATATTGGTGAACTTGGCTCATCTGACATTTGTATTTTAGAACCTTGCTTCTGTAGCTTCTCCCGCCATAACTGCCCACTGTTACCGTTTTAAAGATCTTTAACAAGAGCACATAAAGGTTTTGAGGGCAAGCTGCCTGGGCTGGCCCCTTAGTAGCTTTGTGACCCTGAACAAACAAGTAATCTCAGTAAACTTTCTGATCTCCGTCACCTCCTCTATGAAAGAAGATTACTTGCATCTACCTCCTGGTTGGGAGAATTGGATGAGATAATACAAGAGGAGCACTTAGATCCCAGCCACAGTAAGAACTCAGTACATATTAGCTCTTGTTATTTTAATTATAATCTAATTGGGTGGTTTGCATGCTTAATGAGAAAGCATTTAATCAGGTCTCTGGTAGCTGCCTGGTTTTTAGACCACAAAGAAGAAAAGAGAGAGAGAAGTTCAAAACAACTAAAAGGAGAAGGTTGCTTTGGAAAACATGGAATAAGATACATAAGTAGAATTGAACAAATACATGAGTCATACTACAAAGAGCAAGGCAATCCGTGTAAGGTATTTTATTTTCAATATTTACTATGACCTTAGGAGGGTAGATACTATTATGCCCATTTTAGAGATTGGAAAACTGAAGCTCAAAGAGCTTAAGTAATGTGCCTACAGTTGTAGTAAGATATCAAGCAAGGGACTAGGATTCTAACTTATGTATATATGACTCCAAAGCCCAAGGAACATCAGATGAAAAGGGTTAGTCAAAAAACAAAATAAACAAGAGTCTCTGGGAACTGATAATATAAGGAGTAGCCGCGGTTCACTGTAATCTGGATATAATTTTTACTGCTCCCATTTCTATTGTAGTCTTGTATGCATTTCATTGTGTAATTATAGGACTCTCTTGCACATGTTGGAAATGTAGAGAATAGCGAACCTCCATAATCTACTAGCTGCACAACCTTGGCCAAGTGGAGTCCCTTCTTAAGCCATGGTTTCCTCATCTGTCATGTGGGACCAATAAATAATACTTTAGCTGGTACGGTGATTATGAAGATAAAATTAGGTGATGTTTCTACCGTGAAGACCTCACATACAGAAGATGCTCTTTGAATGGTGTGTACCATCATGGAGAGATGAATTTGGTGCAGAGGAACCGGAGGTGAGAGCATATCAAGAGGGGTGGGGGCTTAATATATGGCTGCTGATCAGCTAAACCAGGGAAGGGACTTCTGAAACAGAAGGCCAAATCTTAAGAGAGAATTATCTCCTTAAATTTTTTTTTCAGCTAAGGCTTTTTCAAACCAGTCTGGAATTCTTTGAGAAATTTGGTGACATCGTATAAATTTTGAGAAATGAGTTCATATCGTGTTGCTTAAAGAGCTGCTATACAG